AAACGGCGTAAACTTGGCTAGCCGTGGTTTTCAACTAAATGACGTGGTTTTCAAAATGTTTTACTTGATTTCTTAGCAAAATGCATTAAACAAACATTTTCAATACTTGGTTTTTATTTTGGAGAACTTACATTTTTGACATCGGCTAACGGCGTGACTAAACCAACCATGGGTCTGGCTAAACCAGCCCAACAGCGATGTTGAGGTAACCAACAGCGCTGTCTTGCTTGGGTAGCTAAAAACATGGTTTAGCGTTAAGTCCTCCAACAGCGATGTTGGACATTAGACATCGCTGTTGAGCCAAGGTTGGATTTCCAGAAACTTCTGGAACATCGATGTAGGCTTCCCTACAGCGCTGTCCAACCTAAGCCAAAGATATTGTGCATTGGCAGAAAGTTTTTGGACATCGATGTTGACCCAGAAACAGCGCTGTCAGGCCAAACTTCCATCTTCAAAGGCAGACCTAAACAGCGATGTTTTAGTATGGAACATCGATGTAGAGACCTGACCGTTGGAAGGAATTTAAGGCTAAAACTTTTCTTGTTTGGAAGTCAACAGCCAAAACAGCGATGTAGGGATTTTAGACATCGCTGTTGGCATGACCATTGCTTCCCATTTTTCAAAACGCAAGCCTAGAACAACGATGTCCAAGCCTAGGACAGCGCTGTCTAGGTGAATTTCAACAGATCCAATTTTCATCAAATCCCACAAATTGTGCCAATCACCCCTTAAATACTTTGGTCCGTTGGAGCCTATTTTTCTACTAAAAAATGGGGTGTTTGGGTCTGTTTTACACAATCACATTACTTCACAACTCCTACTCTTTCATTGCAAATCATTCTTCAATTATTCATAGCTTTTGAGAGCCATTTTTTGTGAAGCTTGTGTTGTGTTCTTAAGCGTTCTTAGTTTACTCATTATCCACTCTAAAAGAGAGTATTGTTCTTGAGTGTTTTTAGTGTTCTTAAACACTTGACGAGAGAAGGTATTTCTCTTGTTGTTCGAAGGGCTGTTTCCTTCGAAGGTTCGTTGAGGTTCGTGTGACTCGAATTCTCAAGTTGTACGGGTTTGTTAAGCACCGTTAAGCTTAACGAGGTAGTAGTGTAGCTCGAGAGAGTCTCTCGGGAGGCTGGATTAGCCACAAGTTGTGGTGAACCAGGGTAAAATCAGTGTGCCTCTTACTCTTTTCTTTACTTCTCATTTATTCATTTTTTATTCCTGCGATTTTGATCAAACGCTATTCACCCCCCCTCTAGTGTTAGTCTCTTATTCTAACATAACCGACCACCTTTAGGTCTTCCTCACCACCGTATACCAGGAATGCATCCTTAGTATTGCGAAGATACTTGAGGATGTTCTTGACCGCTGTCCAGTGTGCTTCTCCTGGACTTCCCTGGTATCTGCTGGTCACGCTTAAAGCGAATGAGACATCAGGTCTAGTACATATCAAGGCGTACATGATGGATCCAATCGTAGAGGCGTATGGAACCTTCATCATGAGTTCCTTCTGCTCGGGAGTAGAAGGACTCTGGCTCTTGGAAAGAACAGTGTCAGGTGTCATAGGTAAAGATCCTTTCTTTGAGTTAGACATGCTAAATCAATCAAGGATTTTACCTATATATGTACTTTGATTCAGACCTATTAACTTTCTTGATCTATCTCGGTAGATTCTTATGCCAAGGACATAACTAGCATTTCCTAAGTCTTTCATGGAGAAGTTCTCGCTCAACCACGTCTTTACAGAAGTGAGAGAGGGAATATCGTTACCCATTAACAATATGTCATCGACATATAAGATTAGGAATACTATTACACTCCCACTGACCTTCTTGTATACACAAGATTCGTCAGAGTTCTTCTCAAAACCAAACTGGAAATGGTTTCGTCGAAGCGTATGTACCAACTCTGAGATGCTTGTTTCAATCCGTAGATTGAACGTTGCAGCTTACAAACTTTGGCAGACTGACCAGCAATTTGAAAACCATCAGGCTGTGTCATAAAAACATCCTCTTTGAGGTTCCCGTTAAGGAAAGCCGTCTTGACGTCCATCTGCCAAATTTCGTAATTGTAATAGGCTGCAATTGCAAGCATTATCCGAATGGATTTCAGCATAACAACTGGAGAAAAGGTTTCATCATAGTCAATTCGGTGGATTTGTCTATAACCTTTTGCTACCAATCTAGCTTTAAAGGTATGAACCTTCCCGTCTACGTCTGTCTTCTTTTTGAAGACCCACTTGCATCCAATGGGTTTTACCCCTTCGGGCGCATCAACCAAGGTCCAGACTTGGTTTGTGTACATAGACTCCATTTCAGATTTCATGGCTTCGAGCCATAGATCGGATTCGGGGCATGTAATTGCCTCGAGGTAGGTCTCTGGTTCGCCTT